TGGGGCTTTCTCATATATGGACATACAGCAGGAGTGATTCTGAGCAGGGGGAGAGCAGCAAGAAGAACTTCCTGCTGAATCACCCCAAATTCCTTCAGCATGCAGAAGGGACTGCACTATGCAAATACAATATGAAGTGCAGCCTGCAGTCTCTCTTACAGCATATATGCCTGCTACCGATGGAGGCAAGTAATGCTTTGCTCTCCTTTCTCACTATTGGCAATAATCTATGATCTCCTCCATAACAACAAAGGCGTAGAGACACACATTTTAATTAGCACAGCTTTAAATGTAGCTTAATCATGGTTAGCTAACATAGTGAAATCAGCCATGTCCACGGAGGGCGAAATCATTGAAACCTTTTTGAATGCCATTGATTTTCCATTGTTGTTATGGCTTTTGACCCATCTGCTCGCCATCCCTTTGGCAGTCATGGTACCATAGCCCCCCTGACAGCTCTGTTCTGTCACCACGGGGCTCATCGCTGCAGATCATGTACATGAGAGAGGTTATTGCTGAAACCAAGTGGAACGTGACTTAAACACAGGAAAGAGTTCTACTAATGTAAAATTAAATGCATGACTGTTGTGTTGTCCTGAGTAAGGACGAGTTTAAGTGCATGTTTAAGTGTTTCGCTTTTTTAGTGCTTCAATCAGTGCTTAGCTTGAAGACTTGGAGGTACTGGGTGAGTGATTTGGGAAAGCAATTATTCACAAAGCAATTAATTTTTAGCTGAAGATCATGCTTAGAAACAAAAAAAATCTTCAACAGCATTAATGTGACCACATGTTTAATAGTCGAAGATGCAGCTATTCCTTGTACAGCCTAATATGCACTTGGATAGAAATAGAACTAAATAGAAATAAAAGGATTATTTGGGTTTTTTTTTCCTTATGGCCAATATTATTGCATTAATGCAATAATTTTATTTCATTATTTTATTTCATTTTTTCCATTATTTCCAAAACCATGTCGATATTCTCTTGGGGTTGTAGCTAAGAGTAGAAGAAAATGAAGGAAAACTGAGAAGACACTAAGAATTTATAAGAAGAGAAAAAGAAACAGGAATACGGAAAAAACAGAGGCAGCCAAGATATACAGTAATGCCCTCAAAATGGCATAATGCCATAAATAGTCATGAGTTTGTCTTAGATAAACAGTTCTATGAGTAGAAAAACAATTGTAAGGTTCAATAACACATTCTTTTACCTAATTTCTTCATGTATCCTATAATTCTGAAATGAATAAGAATCTTTCTGATAGGCACAGTGGATTAGTTTTATGTTAGGGCCATGCTGGGAATTTAGCAGGTAGATTTTTAAAACACATTCACTTTAAAACACAGTAGACCTGTAATTGTTTTGGGAAGGCAAATCTTGCATTGCCTGGACTTGAAGTATAGACAGCATGCCTCAGGAGAAACAGAACAAAGGATAAGCTCTTTTGCTTGCTGCTTTGTAAGCATATTAGTTTTCAATCTTCATTACTATTGAATATACAACACGCATTACAATATTGATGTGTTTAATTTATAATGAAGACTGTTGCTGTTGCATCAGTGGTAATGCTTGTTCTATTTCTATCCAAGTGCATATTAGGCTGTACATTGACTGGCTGCATCTTCAACTATTAAACATGTGGTCACATTAATGCTGTCGAAGATTTTTTTGGTTTCTAAGCATGATCTTCAGCTAAAATTAATTGCTTTGTGAAAAATGTTATTCTGCTGTGTGTCATCCATCTAGTATACTAGAGATCAGATTAGTATTCTTAATAAATATATACATTTTATCTAATTCTTTTGAGGCTTGAGGTGTTGCCCCATGAGATTGGCCCGTATAAATTAGACAAAATATGCTTACAGTCTTATAAATTCCTAGTCTCTTCATAAGAATTCTAAATATCATGGTTCAGAAATGGTTTTGCTTTTTGGGTTTCTCAATATTTGCAATAGAAATTGTATAATTTCCCCAGAACGGAGGTAAAACCAATTATTCCATCCTGCACTCTATTTTTATGTGACAGAAGACTGCCAGAACAGAAAACTGTGCTGAGTAAATATGTAAAGATACCTTAATGTCCTCGTTTGTGCTCCTTTAACACTGCCACCATTTTGTATGAATTTGATCTTCCCACAACCCCCTTTAAAATGTTTTCAACGCATCTGTAACTGCCTGCAAAGCACCACGAGGAGCCAAGAGCACAGCTCCAGAGGAGTAAGCAGATTAGTCATTAGGATGCAGCTTTCAGAATGATTGCTGTAGTTTGCAGGTAACTTGGCATCTCTGTAGAAGATATGCTGTAGCACTCAGGCATTACAGGCTTCATGCAAAAAATTAACAGATACCCATGGAAAATCTTACAGAGAAGGTCAGGCTAGATTATTTTAATGGTCTCTTATGGCCTTTAAAACATAACAGCCTATCAGGAATCCTACATCCACAAAACTCGCAGCTGCATAGAGCATTAAGAGCACATAGAGCAACAGGGGGGTGTTATTGTTTAGAGACACACCAGCATTTGGGATCTCCTAAAACAACTTGTATCACTGGTCCTGGAAAGTACTCTGACATTTGGATGCCTTCAGACCAAAAGGTCACCAGAGTTTTGTGCTGATCTCACTTCTCAGGAGGGATCTATCAGCACCAGAAGTGTGGTAAAATGCTGCTGTGTGTCAGGAGCCCAGCTGTTGCTTGGCTTTCTGAAAGAAGCCTCAAACAGTCGGTGCCTACCTGTGAGCGAGTCTTTTATTTCCACTCTTTGATCAGAGAATTGCAGTTTTTTTCCCCATGATGTTGTGTGCTTGTGCAACATTTCCTTTTGTTCTGTGAAAATCCAAGGGGTTTCATTTCACAGTTTCAATCCTCCATTTGGTGTCTGTAGTATCAGAGCTCCTAACTTGCCTTGTGCTGAAATACCAGAAAGCTGGCTAAGTCATTTCATGTTGAGGTGTGCAGGATGCAGGAGTGAGTCAGCTCTCCTGTCAGCATCCAGAGCATTCACGGAGTGTAATAACACTTTTCCTAGAACGAGCAGAACAGGTCACACGGAATACCTACGTGTTGTTTGGGAAGAAAAATAGTGGGCTTCCTGTGTGCAGAGCCACAAACAATGCTATAATAAAGGAAGGCATGGTCATTTAGATGTTATTTCCAGGGAGACCAGCGGATCTCATTAAAATGTTATTAGCCTTACTAAAGGTACTTGATGACTATAAGAGATGTATAAAACACAGAGGTTGTGAGCATCTGATTCTCACTTGTGTGAGGCCCTTCTAAACTGTACAGTTGTAGCACAGCTTCAAACTCAAGTTGGCTGTACTAGCACAAGTCCTGTTGCACACTTGCACGGTGTCTTAAAAAGGGGTTTTGCACTGAAACAGTGTACTAGTACTGTTCTCCATGTCCTCTTGAGATTTTGATTCTGGCTTAGAAGCAGATAGCTGCTTTCTCCTGGGAGCTGTCACGTCTAGATTCACAGAAATCTGCAGCACACGTTCAGTGGCAGCAAGCTGATGAGTGCTGCTGTACTTATTACAGAGATGTCAGAGGCCAGCTAGCTGTTTTAACTCAGGTAGCTGGGATCCAAGACAGGACTCCTTTGCAGGAGGCCCAGAACACTCAACACCATGACTGCCCCAACTCAGTATTGACTGATCGGAGCTCATCATTATTTTAATTAGCAGAGCCCACATAATTACCTTGAGTGATTCTTGCACTGTGACTCCATGCTGAGCGGTCACACGTTTGACCATGTGCACTGAAAGGAGCTGTAGCTGTAGAGGTCCAGAACCACATCCCCAGAGCTGCCCGCTAGCTTCTAACTTCCTGCCTCAAGCCTCTGGCAGCTGGTGGTGATCCAGCACTCTCTTCTGTGCCCCACAAACACTGACAAGCTCCAGTACTGCTGTCCCATGGAGACACGGCTGTGGTTTCACAATCTTCTGGTTTATTTTCCAGATACTAATTATTGTGGGATAGTATTCCAATTTTAATTACGGATGAAAAAATCAACCTACAAAGATAAGAGCTTATGTTATTTTTTAGGAATTTTACTTCAGAGGAAATGAACATGAGGTAGAGGTGTGACAATCAATGTGAATGGTGTGAATACATTATACTATTTGCTTTTAATATTCTTCCCTTCCATATAGTCTTTTTTTTCCTCCCAGAAAGAGGTCAGCAGAGCAGAGCTTCTAGAAAACCTTTATTAGAGAAGAGGTGAGAAAGAGGGATCCCACGTATCCTGTGGCAGATGTAGACAGCAGCCAACAAGGACTGAGGACTGACAGGCTGCAGAGGTGGGTGTGAGCATTAGCATAAGTGTGAAACTGAGCTGGAAAAGGATTTCAATGGTAGGGAATGAAGAACAGAGGAAGGCACAACGCACTCTTTCCAATAGATACGATTCCTGATAATTTCCTCTGGTCTGAGTGCTAGACTCATACCTGGTCCATCTTTGGCACGAGTACAAAAATAAGAATGCTTTTCCTCCCCCCTCGGTTCCTGATGTATGACTTTGTGGTAGTGCAGAGCGGTCAGGGGAGCGACCAAAATAGCTGCTGTGTGGGAGGGAGCAGGTACGGCGGCAGCTCCTGTATGAGTCCGTGCCCTGCGGCACTGTACCTACGGCAGGGACCCTACCGGGGTCGGATCCATGCCGATTCCTCTTGGGCCCTTTTCCCAATTGTCACAACCCAAGTCCCAGAGATGCTGCAGCTCTGGTCTGGGGACTTCCCCAGCTTGGGCGGCGGCTGAGCCAGGGAGCTCGGAACGCGTGGAGCATTGGGGCCAGCGGGGCGGTAAGGGAAAGCCAAATACGAGACCCGATCCGTATCATGGCTGCTGCTCCGGGTTTTTGCCGCAGCCGCCTCCAGCGCTCCGGCTCCAGCCGTGTTCCGCCGCCCGCCGTTGCTTTACCGCTGCCGTCTGAGGGCGGAGGCTCCGGCTCCGGGCCGGCGGGCTGGGATCCGGTGCCGGGTTTTGGCCGGGACCGTCCGGGGAAGTTGCCGAAGTTGGGCAGCGAGCGCTGGGTCGCGGCGCGTCCTTCCTGCGGCCCGGCCGGTGCATGATGGAAGCAGCATGGCCGCCCACCTCTCCCTGACACAGGTACCTTCCGCCGCGGGGAAGGGGCCGCCCGCCTCTCTCGGGCCGAGGCTCGCCGCCTCCCGGGACGGAGGAGCGGTGGCCCGGGGCCGGAGGCGAGCGGCGCGGCCCCCGCGGAGCGGTTCGGCGCTGCCTCGGCCCGCGGCTTTGTGCGAGCCCCGTGCTGTCAGGTGGCGGCCGCGGCGCAGAGCGAGGGTGGGCCGGGCGGGCGGGAAGTCCTGAGCCGGTCGGGCGCCGCCGGCCCCGCGGCGCGGCTCTGCGCGGCTGCAGGTGCCTCTGCCCGCGGCCCCTGGTGTTCCTCGGCCCGGGAGTGGCCCGCAGCGGGCCGCGGCGGCTGTCAGCACGGTCGGGCTTTTGTCTCGGGGAAGGAGCGGCTGGCTTCGACGAAACGAACAGAAGACAAACCCCGAGCCGCCCCGCGGATGGCGAGGGCGGGTGGCGGAGCCGTGGGGCGCGGCGGTGCTCCGGATGGCTGCGAGGCGGCGGGCCGGCCGTGCGCTCGGAGGGGCCACGGGCTGTGCCCCGTGTTCTGACGTACCGGCGGTGCTTTGGCAACGGAGGTACCGGTACGGAAGGTGTGTCACCTCGTTTCGGCTACCTGCGTGCCGTGGGGACGCTTTGGTGTACTGGCTCTCGTTCCTTAGAGGGTCGATAGGTAGTAAACTGCAGGCGGGGCTGGTTCGTGCAGCAGGGACGGGGATACATTCGTTCCGACTGGCGGGCCTGCGTTGGTTGCTGCGGTGCTTTGATTCCACCATCGATAATGTCGTTTATTTTAACGACAAACAAGCTACTAAATAAGTGTGACTCACCAAAGCACGCGTGAGGCAACTGCAAAGTTCTGAGCGAGGCTGCTCCATTTGCAGTTATTCCCCAGTGGAGCTGGCTTTTGAGGAAATCGTCAGTCATTTCAAGTGTGAAACATCCCTATGCTACAGATTTGAAAAAGTTTGCACACAGCAGTAACTGATTCTGTGGGCTGCTGTATGGGCACGGGCTGTTCTGGCTCGTTATGTGGGGAGGGGGAAGGAGTGTCTGCTGTAGAGCGTTCTGCAGTAAAACATGATTGCTTACAGGCTGTGTAATCCTGTCATTGTAGAATTTATTGACTTTTTTGGTCACGTGGAAGAGGAACTAAATAGAAATGTGTTAATGTTGACAGAGGCAGAAAAATTGCCGCTATCCTTAAAACCATTGTGACTGCAACTTGCATCAGTGGTTAGATTGAGGAAGCATTTTCTGTTGTTGTTGATCATTGATGTGAGGGTTTCTTTTTTTGGTGAGTGGAAGGAGGGTGAGTAGAACAGGAATAATTTCAGAAAGTCAAACAAACCTGAAGGTAATTTCTTAAGTTGAGGTTCTAATTCTTGGCATTCTACAGTTTTGTAAAATCCTAACAAATCATAAGTGTTTTGAATGTGTTTAGATGTAGTATGAGGAAGTGAAAATGAGTACGGGTTGGGTGGGAGGGTGGGTATAGTTACCACCTACAGTGAGATCAATTACTTACACCACCAGGAGAAGTATGCAGGCTGGTCCTTTGCTGCATGTAGACCTCATGCAGAGAGTCAGAAGCAGTCATGCTTGACCTGCAGTCAAGCTCACAGTTGCCTCAGATTTTCTTTTCCCCTTTCCATGTGGGTTTGACTGATTTAACACAGCTAGGAAGTTGGGGGTTTCCAAGATCAGACTGGGGTATTTTCAAATGGCTTTGCACCTGTGGTGTCTGAGAAGGCCGACATCCTTTATTTGAATATTAAGGCTCTGCTTAAGAAACGTGGAACTTTGATAACTAAACAGATTTCAAACCTGTGTAGCTGTAATGAAATTAACTACATTGAGTATACTTAAAGAGCGTTACAAAATGAATGTTTATCTCTTCTCTTACCCCCAGTTTTGGTAATAATCTGAGGTATTTTTAACGTGGAAACAAGATAGCAGTACCAGTGAGGAGGAAGTGTTGGTATCTAGCAGTGTCATCTGTTGTTGGAGAACTCAAGTATCGCCAAGGAGAAGAGTTTCATTTTTGACCTTCCAACTATGGCTACTTATCTTGTTTAATTTAGAGGGGGAAAAGCAAATAGAAAAAGCACAAAATGCGTATCAGGAGTATGGAAGGTATGTATGTTGAATGCTGGATGTTGAAGACTGGTGTAATACGGGCATAAAAAAGCTCTGTTGCTTTTGAGAATTAAAGCTGTGGTTCAGTATGACAAACTGCGTGATGGAAAGTTTGGAGGAATCAAGGTGGGTCTGCATGGAAGTATTCAGGGAGAATGGGAAGATAACTTTTGTTTGCCTCATACTGTGTCATGGGTGTCTGGAATTCCATGTGGTGTTGTCCAAAAGACTCACTGAATATTACTGAATGAGGCTAAATTACATACCTGCTAGGTTTCTATCCAGTTACTGGAGTATATAGGATATAAATACACAAGAGTGCGAAGGACTGGTTTGTAGTCATAGATATGTTATAATAGAGCCAAAAAGCAAAGCTCTCCAGTGACTTAATTCTTTTTCTTTCTGGGTATCTGGTGAACTCCAGATTTTTGTTAGGAATCACAAAATGATTTTTATTTTTAAATATATGTACATATTTTATAGACATGAGAAATCTGTTTTTCCGCTTTCTGCCCTCTCTGAAAGATCAGGAAATCTGAGTGTGTGTGCATGAATGTGTGTTTCAGCTGGTAAAGCAGACAGGGCTTAATTTTTTGGTTGAGATTGACCTTGTTAATGGCTGAAAGGCAGTGGAGCTGCTTCTTTGTGTTTGACAGACTTTGTTCAGTACTGATTAGAAGATGGTTGAGGTTTCCTGGAGTGATTTGAGAATAAAATTGAACAGTATTTAATTAAGCAGTGACAGATGTCTGTGCAGAAGGAAGATGGCAGTTTCTGCGCATGCTTCAGCTGCCTAAGGGGAATGAAAGTTCTGACTCTTCAAGTGCATGGCTGTAGATGCATATAGATTATAGCAAATATTTTCTTAATTTCACCTGTGTTGTTAGAGAGGGAAAAGCTTTTAATCTGAATGAAGCTTTCATTCAGTAACTCTTTTAACATCATCATAGCTGTGATAAAAAAAGGAATACAGTGGACTATGTAAAGTATGAGCAAGAAATGCCTGTAGAGAATCTCTGCTCTTGTTTAACAGTTTGGAATATATAATGATGTGTGGTCAGATGAATGTGGAAGTGCCATCTAGGCCTCAGTAGGACAAAATTCCAAAAGAATGGGTGTAAACAATGTGAAAGGAGGAATTTTATAGAGGGGAAAAACACACAAAGAGTAGATCCAGATACTTCTTTCAATGGATGCATTGTTTGAGCATGTGTATTTTCTATGAAGCTGAAGTTGAGTTGTTCTTAGCACAGACAGCGATGGAAAGCTTTACCATTACATGTTTCAAATAAGAAAGAAAGGCAGTGTGAGAAAGGATGGGTTGATTATTGTTCGGAAGGGACATCACATTAAACACAGCTTGCCTTAAACTTCACTGCTTTTCAGCTGTGTGGTTGTGCTGTTGTTTGCTTGTAACTCTGTCATTCCTATTCCCAAGCTATGCACTGCTATAGGGATTCCAGGTGTTGTAGTTGTCCCTTGCCATTACCTTTGTCTTTTATGGACTAATTTCATACTCTCCTCAACCTTTAGGAGGCTGCTGCTTCTAATAGTGGAAGAAGAACTGCTTGTACTTTATTCTTCCTTCCCTTTTTAACTTCTCTGAAATGGGGAGCTGAGATTCCCGCTGTGTCTGAAAGGTTCTTTTCTATCGTGAGTCATCTTGAGACCCAGGAAAGAGCAAGAGGATGGCTGCATGCGGAATGTTTACTACCAGATGGTGTCATTTGACATGGAAACAGTGAAAACAAATCCTAAAACTTGGCATCATGATAGAATACAGAATTTTGGTTTTTAATTGAAATAGAACAGCTCACCTTCTATCTTACTTCCTATCTCATTTGGTTTGGAGGGATGCTTTGTTTTTTGTGAGGTTTTTTCCTCTGCAGATAGCCCCCCAGTCAGGGCTTTCTCACTACTATGAGCAACAGAAGGTTGTGGATGTTAGACCTAAGTAGAAACATGACAGCGGGGTGAAAACATGGCTGTAAAGGCTTGAGTGCCTGTAGAAAATGAAAAAGACTGGTGTCCCTGAAGGTGGTTTTTTTTATTTCCTGGGATAATATCCTGAAGTTCAAAGGTTTTGTAACAAAGGTGATAATTACTAGAACAGACGTTACTCTTGTGAAGTGATAAACTTCTAAATGCAAACATGATAATGTATTTTTGTATTTTTGCATGCAGTGGAATCTGACCTTTTCTCCCTCCTTCCTTTTTGCATTGTGAACAAGTTGAGGTTATGCTCTACAGTTGCATATTACAAATCTCGTAAAAGGAGTGCTCACAGGTAAATTCTGCAGCAACACCTTCAGAAGCAGAGCAGTGTTTTTCTTCTTGCAGATAGAGCACATTCCTGACAGTATTAATAACTTTTAATGTGGGGTGTACTTTGCAGGAAAAGTCAGTTACTAGTAAAAATAGTTGGGAATTTTTTTATTCTGTTTGGTGTCACAGGAAATTCCAGTTGTTGCAGTGATACTGATGTTAAAGTGAACATTGGAAACACTGCTGAAACAAATAAGAATGACTGGCTTGTGCTCCAAGTGCTGAATGAGAAGATTGTTTTGCACTCAGTGTTTTCCTTGCAGGACTCCAACATGATATTTCCTGTCCAGGAGTGACAATGATAGGTTTGGCTGTAATAATGAAACGTTTGGCTGAACAAAGAGTGATATTGGGCAAGAGGGATGATGTGGGCTTTTACTTCTAGAGCGCACAGCGCTCAACTTTGTTCCAGTATTTTGCTCTTAGCTTTAATGGGATTTTGTCTATACTGGTGCATTATGATGAATTAATGAACTTAGTAAAACATTTGAACGTTTTGGGGAATAGCCCCTCTAAAATGCTATTAAAATTGTAGGTGAATTGATAAGTGCAGCACTTGACAATTAATTGAGAAAGTATAGTATGCTTTGGGGCATGCTGGAAAGTGCTGGAAAGTGGTGTATTGGTGCTGTGGTAGTCAGGTCTGGCAAAATGTGAATGTATTTTGTCAGGCAATTCTAAGGGCTGTGTAAGTGGCTGCTTAGGTAGTGGCTGAAACAAGAAGTGCCAAAGCAAAGTCAGAGTGCAGTAGTTGTAGGTTCAGATGCTGTTTAATCCTTGCTTGAGTTTAGGTGAGCTCTGGATGTATGGTAGGTGGTAGTGAAAGTAAGGCAGAAGGGATCTTTGGCAACGATACAGATTAAAATATCTGCTCCCCTCCGCTCCCCTATTTCTTTTTAATAATTGTTGCTGTGAATTTAGTTAGGAATCCACGACTTACTTAGATATCTGAAAACTTTGCAGGCTACTTGCTTAAGGCACTGAGTTCTAAATGATGATTTAGTGGGTAATGAAATCCAGCTATCTTGCTTTGTATTCATTAGCGAGCACTTATGGGACTGTATCATCGCAGGCTTCTTGGCTTGTGTTGGATCTTGCATACAAATTTGTTTCGTGCTGCCTATCCTGGTGACCTGAGAGTAACCTGATAGCGATTAGTGTCAGTGGCTCCAAAACATGGAGCAAGTCTTCTACAAGTTACAGTATAACAGTCCTCATCATTTTTCAAAACAGACTTATGTAAGTGCTTAATGCTTTATGAAGACCAGCAAAAAGTGTTTCCTAGCTCTAGTCATCCGGGGAGAAGGGAGCTGAAATGCAGATTTTATGGTTAATTGAATATCCTTTTTTTTTCTCTTTTTTTTTTCTTTACAGCTGTCAAGTGCAAATCCTGTGTATGAGAAGTTCTATCGACAGGTGCGTATGTTCTTGCTGAGAAAAGAAACTTTCTTTTACATAGAAGAATATTCCTTTGCTGTAGACTTCAGCATGGCCAGCAGAGTGTAAATGTTTGAAGTTCAAGAAAAACACTGCTGACTTACAATATATTTCTCTAGTAACTAACACTTGTCTGAGCTATATCAGTACAAAAGAAAGTGTAAGATGATTTATATATGGCAGTTTGGTAGCCAATTCAACAAAACATACATCAATTTACAATAAGAGGACTGTTAGCACTTGGACTGGAGTAAACCCCTGCCAAGTACTGTGCTGGTGTGGTTGGTTGTTTTCCATTTACAAGTGAAACTGACTTTGCTGTGTTTGTAGACCAGTTAGGTTTATGTAAGACTTGCATCTCTCTTTGTGCCTTAAGGTTCTTCCCAGTGCTGTGAGGAATGAAGGGCAACCGAATGCCAAAAGCATATGTGTAGTTCTTGCAGCTTCACTCAGTAGACATAAATTCTTTTGATAAATAAAATTTGTCATTTGTCTTTTATATTTAGATCCAGAAGGAAAAAAAAAAGTTTGTTTTCATAAAAACAGGTTTAAAAAAAAAAGGTGTACAGCACCATTTATCAACTTATGCCTCAAAAAGTTGGGCACTCACTTCCTAAGAAGGACCTTTCTCCACGAAAGGAGCATTTCAGTTTTGAAATTGATGAACAAAAAAAGGGAGTTTACCTTGGTCACAGTTAGGATGGCTTAAGAGAGTTGAAAGAAATAGCATCACCCTTACAAAACTATCTTTCAGTTTGATGAACAAACTTGTCATCTCTCTCTGTAGAAATACAAGTCCTTTAGAGAACACCGTATTATGTTTATCGTTAGAGGGGCACAAGAAAAGACAAGGAACTCACTTTTCTCCGTGTTAGATTTCCTAGCTCCATACAAATGGCTGTATCACTGACTTGGATGATCTTTGCCACACGCCTGTCTGTCCCTTCTTCATGGTTGCAATTGCTTAATCACTGAAGTATGAAACAAAAAGTTGGATGAAGAAAGGGAGTTACAGGCCAAGTATGATCCAGCTTCTGAAGTCACTTAGCATCTTGCATCCACTGGCTTATGCAGCCTAGTGACACTGGAGCATCGTCTGGCAGTCTTAGCAGGATACAGCCACAGGGATTCCTTGAACCTGATGTTACTGTTAGCTGTGTTGTGTCAGTGGATTTTTTTCTATGGAATTGAGTGTTCTGACTTGCTCAGCCAAATGCCTTTTCTGCAAGCATCGGTACTAAGAAGTAACTTTGGAATGTACTGTCTAAACACTTTCAGATGCACATGATAACTTTTTCCTTCTCCTCCTTTATATAAGGAGATGTCAGCTTTCAAAATAGCAGTGTTAGAAAGACATTTCCCTTTTTTCTTATAGTATTAGTAGAGCATGTCTTGTTTCTTTCACACTAGAAGCACTTAAGAGCTTTCTGTACCAATGAAGAATAATTCATCACCTGAAGTAGCACGGATGCTTAGTACTCCTCCAGTTCTATCATAAACTTATTCATTTCACGCAGTCTAATTACTGTGAAATTAAAAATAAACACAGCTGATACTGTGTTACACTGCCTTTGCTGAGAGAGATTCTTACTGTGGCTGTGAGCATTCTTTGCTAGCTTTGATAGCTTCTGTAGTGAGTTTCCATCAATTTGAAAGCTGGTTTGTGATGTGAGTTGGCTTTTTTCTTCTATCCCCAGGTTGATTCTGCTAATACCGGAAGAGTGTTAGCTTCTGATGCAGCTGTTTTCTTGAAGAAGTCTGGATTGACGGACTTGGTACTTGGAAAGGTATTTAATGACAAGTATTTAATTATCCTGTGGTCCCTTACTTCAGTTAGCATCCCCTGTAAATTAAAATACTTGGAAAGGTATGGCAGGATACATGATCTTCCCTAGTGTGTTTTCAGTAGTGCTATTTAATAGTTTCAAACTTCAGTACCTGTGCTTATTTAACTGTATATGTTACTCATGATGGAAATTAAAACAGCATTTAAATTTGTCACCACAAGTAATTGCTGTAACAAAAGTTAAGAACTGAACTTCCATCCAAGAATTAAAATGTTTTTAAAGTGAGTGAGAGCTTGCCAGCTTCCTCTTAGTGTTTTGGAATACCTTTGACTATTGTTTTTATGTTTTAGATTTGGGACTTAGCTGATACTGATAGCAAAGGAATCTTGAACAAACAGGTATGATTGTATGATGAATGAGGTTACTCTAACTGCTAGCAAACCTTGCAATGAGATGAGTATTAATGTTTCTGGTTCAGGAAGGCAATTCTTCTCATAGGATTTTTTTCTGATATGTACTCCCCATTTCAGTGTAAGCTACAATAAGTGAAGTACCCTTCAGCTTCCTCATCTGTTTCTCTTCAAGTCATAAAATGAGCTGCTGTGTATGTGTGCAATACAACAGAGGAATAATTTAAGTCTAATGTACTGTATTTACTATTAAGGTAATTTTTCCTCTTAGTCTTGAGAGCAAAAATGCAGAAATTAAAATGCTATAAAATCTTCAATTTATCTAATTTTGCTGGATTTCATGTGTGTGTTTGGACTTGTTCTTTTTAAGCTGCAGCTGTGAGCAGTATGTCTGTGTCAGTCAGATGTCCATCAGTGATGCATGTAGCACGAGCTGCTGACAAGCTCTGATGTGATATTGCTGTTAGATGCTTTGAAGTGTAGGTCGTTAAATAATGGCCTGCAGAGAGTTGGTTGCTTTAGTCCACATTCGGAAAAGGTGCTTGTAGCATCTATGAAACAAATCTTTCCTCAGCCTTCCAGTTTGGTTCATCTATTTCATATGCTGTACATTTCTTCCCTCCTCCACCGTCAGCTACCTTTGGGGTTAACTCAGTTCCTTCAAGATAAACAGCTGTACTCACTGCTTCAGATTCTTACTTCTCTGTCATAGAAGAACTGAGTGCAGACAGCTGGTTATACTGGCAAGGAAGCTACTGAGTGCATGGAGCTAGTAATAGTAAGTTTGACCTCGCTGGAAGGATTCAGTGTTTTTTTGACTACTGCTTTCTGTCATTTTGCAACTCCTACCCTTCCAAGCTGTTTGTGACCATTGTATGTATAACAGTACTAGAAAACTTCTTAATTCTTGCTCTTGCATATTTTCATACAATAAAACTTTACAATTTTATTTTTCCTGTAGGAGTTTTTTATAGCTTTACGACTTGTAGCATGTGCACAGAATGGATTGGATGTTTCCCTGAGTAGTCTCAATTTGCCTGTTCCTCCACCAAGATTTGTAAGATTTTATTTTTAATATGCCTATCAACTTCTTACTAATAAGAAGCTTTGAAGCTAACAATTAGGAGGACTTGTTATAAATACCAAATATTTCTGAAAAAGGTGTTACAGGGAGGGGAAAACAAGAGAATGTGGAGTTAGAATAAGGTGCTGCATGTTCTAGTGGGGTTATAAAAGTGGAATTGTGTAAAATTGGAATATTTATGGCACTTGTTCTGTTAGTGCTGTCCTTAATGGAAGAAAGGTTTTAAATTTCTTACTGTAAATCTTTATCTCCCTCACTAAAGTATGCATGACTGAAATGCTTTGAGAAGCAATAACTTCTCAAATAAGGGGGTGGTTTTGAAAGGTCAGAACTCTTTTTTTTTTTTAAGTGAGTTTTTTCTCTCTTCTTTTTCTTATTAGACTGATACTAGTAGTCCTTTGCTGCTCAGTGGAACAGCATCAAGTGATATACCATGGGCTGTTAAGGTAAACAAAATATCATGCTACTACGTAGAATGGTGATGTGCTTTGTAAGGAAACACAAATCTGAGAAAAATATGGTACTGATAGCTATAGTTCATTACACATGATAAATTGACATTCCTGTTCAGTCTGTACTTTGGCTTGTAGATCTAATTTGTGTGGGTCTGGGGGAGGTGTGAAACTGCTTGGGAAATCTTGGGAAGAAACTTGATTTGTTGAGAATAGTCACTTCAAGGCATGAAAATAAATGAGGACTAAATCTCAATGGATTTTGTACAAGTCTCTGCCTTTAAAAAGAAAAAAAAAAAGGGGGGGGAGGATGTAATTTCTGTGTATCAGGAACTTCCATGTATGCTTTTCTCACTGTAGCTTTGACAAAAGTAAGTCAGTATTTTTGAAAGTGCTTTATGGAGTGCAAGTGTGATTATTTTTCTTCTGCTCTGCAGCTGGAAGACAAGGCCAAGTATGATGCTATTTTTGACAGCCTAAATCCTGTTAATGGACTACTGTCAGGAGATAAAGTGAAACCTGTACTCCTCAACTCAAAACTGCCAGTGGATATCTTAGGACGAGTAAGAGTAGCTTCCTATTATTTTTTTTCCAATTAATTGTTAATTTGCAGGTAATAACTATGCTTCACTCATCTTTATCTGTTTCTCACATCCTGTGTTTATAGTAATAAGCCTAATTACTAAATATTGTCATATGGAGTGACCAGACATACAATTGTTAAACTGTAAAATTTTTCATTGACATTTTGATAGATTACCTCTAATTATAATGTTTTGTGTATGCTTTAACACTTTGTTTTGGACAGGGTTCAATTAGCACTCCGATTTCAGACTCTTCTTTTGCACGGTCTGCATGAATGTCACTTACTGAAAACTGCTGTTAGATTAGTAGGACTTTAGATACAGTGGGAGGAGGCTGTTCTCTCATTTGTTTTGTAATGATATAAAAAGGCAAACACTACAGTTCAGGCAAATATCCCTATATTCTTCTTTTTATTGGTAGGTGTGGGAATTGAGTGATATTGACCGAGATGGAATGTTGGATCGCGATGAATTTGCAGTTGTAAGTATCCTATATGCCTCAGAATTCTGAAAATGGAATGACAGAAGCTCAAAATGGGTGAATTGTGTGTTAGGTTCTGACTGTGCAGTTTCATTTCTTGCCTTTATTCAAAGACTTTCATCTAATTTTATTACTGAATTAGCATCAGTTTATTGAGTATATCATTACACAAAGTAGCTTTCCCTCTGGGCTAAATGAAATATTGTGAAAACATGCTACAAAGTTATTTCTTAACTAATTCTTTCTCCTCCTTCTGTCCTCATTGGTGTGTTTGTTTCTTTGTGTTCAGGCCATGTTCTTGGTGTACTGCGCTTTGGAGAAAGAGCCAGTGCCAATGTCCTTGCCTGCAGCTTTGGTGCCACTATCCAAGAGAAAACCTATGAGTGTTCCAGGAGCAATGCCATTAATTCCTTCTTCAGCATCTTCCAAAGATTCTCATCAGTCCTTGCCACCTGTAGGCATTTTAGCTGCCAAAACACCATTAACACAGGTATAATTCTGAAGGAAATTGGGGTCAAAAGATTTGTTCTTAATGTTGTTCTTTGGTGTGTGCTTATGTGAGGAGTCTTGATAAACATTTTTTATTTCCTTCTCCTTCCCCTATTGATAATAAAATTGAGGAGAGTGATGGGAAGACAAGATTAAGAGAAAAGATAATACATAATTTCTTCAGATGTCTCCAAATATAAACAGTTGGATAAAAGCATATTATTTAGTGAAGATTTTGAAGATATTTTTAAAATAAATTGTTTCAAAGCATCTAGCTCAACCTTAGAACACTTAGAAAACAGTTTAATCCAAGCATACGTAGGCAGAATGTTTGTTCTGACTGAATACTGATTGGAATCTGGGCAGTTTTTAAGACAAATTGTGATAGGATTGTGTATGTACTTACATGTTGTGCACGCAAGCAGTTTGAAGAAGATGTTCATGAAAACAATAGATCACTGCAAGCTATGGAAAGAAAGAGGACAGAAGGTCTAGCGCATCCACTGAAATATGTGAGATCTGGTGCTTGTTCTAAATGTAGTTACTGAGAAACTTAACTCCAACAGAAAAGCATCTTATTGAATTCTGATCCTTTTAGAATCCAGAATTTGGGAGTATGTCTTTTCAAGTGCATTATAATTTACTGGTTGTATTTGAAGTAAATGTTGAGAAAGGAATCTGAAGTGAGAGCTGAAGTACTTCAATGCATAAGATGCTGCTTGGATATTTGGGTACCTGTATTTGAGAAATCAGCAGATTGGCACTTTGTGTCTCCTGGTTCCCAGACTTTGGCAGCTTACTTGACTGACATAAGCCTGGGTAGTGTGTGTATTACAGAGCAGTTGTGTTCTGGATGAGTGTCTTGGTGTATGTTTTGTTTTTTGTTTTTTTTTATACAGCACCATTTGGGATTTGTATATTAAGTGTCCTTGTACACTTAAATTAGTATCCACGAGCATGCATATATGCAAAAGCTGAAGCAATTTTCACTCATTCTCCCCCCGTCTTCTTATAGTAAATAGTATAGTATTGGAAAATTTGCTGAAGTAAGAAATGTGGCTGTAACTCCTATCTTTACCTTGGTAAGAACTTCAGATGTGTAATTTAGAATGTCCCAGCTGTTAACTCTGAGCTTGACCCATCTAAAGCTCTCCAGCTGTGTAAGGAAGAGTGAAGTTGATGGAGGCAGACTATGAGTACAGTGGTGAGTGCAAAACCCCTTGCTAGGAGGAGATCTGGGCCCCAGGGAATATTTCTGTTGCATAGGCAAAGAAATAGAGCAGTATCAACCAACTGTTGCCCTTCACTGATACCAATGTTGCTGCTCTTGGAGTGTCTTGCCTATACGTGTCTATTTTGGATGATAAAAGTGATTCATAAATCTAAAATGTGTGCTATAGTCCATGAATTATGTAACTCTGAAAGTATATAACCAAAAACAGAACTGTCTTTATCTTGGTATTGTGGGTTTTGATTTCCTCTCTACCACTCCCCCTCCCTTCCCTTCAGTGGGTTGTATCGCCTGCAGACAAAATTAAGTATGATGAGATCTTTATGAAAACTGACAAGGACATGGATGGATTTGTGTCAGGTGTGGAAGCCAGAGAACTATTCTTGAAGACAGGACTGCCTTCTGCTCTGCTTGCACATATCTGGTAGGGATTATTTTCCCTTGACAGCTGTTTAGATGATGGCTTGGTTCTTGATCCTTCCTAGCTCTTTTCATGAAAAGTGCTGTGTTGACATTTATAGAAAATGAGAGCTATTTTCATATAAAATAGCAAGGCCTCTGTATTAGCAGTGGTAACTTAATTTGCTTCTACTTTTGGATAGAAATAGGGGGAAAATTGGTTAATGCCATGAGCTATTTCCTAGCTCGAGGAGGTAAAGTGCCTGAAGAAATGGCTTCAAACAAATACTGCATTTAGCTAAATGCCTCTATATAAAGGACCATAATGTTGCTGTGTATTTGAACACTGAGACTGTCCTTTTGAGAATTATCTGTATGAAATTCTTAGCATTCAAGACTCAGGGCCCATCTAATTCTGTGAATTGTTTGTCTTTCATTAAAGCCTGTATATTACAGGCTGTAGTGACACCTACTGTGTGATGGTATTTTTTCTAAATTTTTCTCCACTGTAAGATAGTGCATGGCACTCTGATAGAAAAACGATTGGGTTTTTTCACTGTATGGTTAATATAATGTAGGAAATCTAGGAAAATGGTGTAAACTGGTGTTGCCTATGGAATGTTCTTTCGTTTAGCAGGTAAATTCAGCTATAGATATTCAGATGTTGCAATTCGTATGCCTAGTTCTGCCTTTTACCAGATTAGCAATTATTCTAACAGAGCATTGGAACTTTACACAAAAGGAGGGAAGTGGTTGTGTGTGTTTCTGCATTTATTACCGTGGTTTGTTGTGTATTGCATTGTTTTTAATAGAGGAGGTACTCAGTAGCTGTTTTCACAGTTCTGAGTGAAATAAAGTAGAATATGTGGAGTTATACTTGTGGAAATGAAGATTTGGTTTATTCCATGTGCATCTCTGTCTAGGGCTCTGTGCGACACAAAGGACTGTGGGAAGCTTTCCAAGGAACAGTTTGCTCTGGCTTTCTACTTAATTAATCAGAAATTAACAAAGGGCATAGATCCACCTCAAGCTCTGACTCCAGAGATGATTCCACCTTCAGACAGGAGTGTCACATTACAGAAGGTAAGGATGGGTTTGCATGCTTGGTATAAATTTCACAGGCTGGAAAGGAGGCACTTCAAGTACTGGCAAACCTCAAGGTTATCGTAATATCAGGAAGAAAACAAGCATTATTTACAAAGAAGTGACAAAGCACTGCTCCATTCGTGTTTTGAACTGAAGCTGTCATTTATTACACTTGCCAACCAAGCAGAGAGATCTTATGTTGAGAAAGCATTATTTTCTATTTTAAAAGAATAATCTTTTTCCTGTCTGAAGAAATCTTAGTTTGCATCAGGAATAACATGCACAGGTTCTATGTTTTTGTCCTAGTGTGCTTTTCAATTATCTTTCACATTTCTTTTTTTCAATAACACTCAAAATAATCTGAATTAAATGAAGTTTATGTATTTAAAGTTCAAAAAGTAAATGTCCACCATTTTATTCTTCACAGATAGTTTAAATGTCTTGATAGCCTGTTAATTGCCATCTGTCTTAATCCAGCAGTAGACTAAACCTCAACAGCTCAAGTTATGTTTATCAGAATGGCAGAAGTCATGGCAGATTCTTACTTGTTTTACGCATTGTAGAGTCTTATGTTGGTTACCTTTTCTTGGTTGTGCAAAGCTGATTCTACACTTTCTTGAACAGAATGAAAAATCAGCAACTGAAAAACTAGAAACTCAAAGTTTGGCACTACTTTTGAGTTTCTGTAACTGGAATCTTATTTCTTTTTACACTCTATTTTTAAAAAGTAATTGCTTTATTTGCAACCCTACTAATCTTTTTTGTATGTTTGCTTTCCTTTCTATGTCTCTTTTCTAGTTTGGACTGTTTTTTCCATTCTGCACCACTCTGCTTTTCATCCTTATTATTCTGTCAGTTTGTTAACTCTGCTTTCTCAAGGTTAGAGAATCTTTGCTTTTCTAATATTTACTGTCTGTTGGTTTGATAATGAGCATCCTTCTAAGACTCTTAAGTAACCACTGAAATAGTGCAGCACTTTCTGAAGCATCACAACTTGTTGCAATCTCAAATTATTACTGGTTTCCAGTGTTGTTCACCTGGAAGAATCTCAAGGTGCTTTGCAAATCTGAACTAACACAGTGTACATAATCCACTCTTGTGCAGAAAATGTTTCTGGGGTAGACCTCTGTGGCTGTTACAATTTGGCTGCATGTACTGCTTAAGTTTACAAAAGAAAGTGCTTTGTATTATCCTGTTCAAATTGTTAGGGAAGTGATGGCAGTTGTAGCCCAGTCTGACAGATGACAGTATCCATTAGGACTGATATCCATGTTATTACTGATTATGTTTCAGAAAATGTAGTGGTCAGAACACTTTGAATGAAATCGACATTGTTTACTGCTGTTCTGTGTACATTGTCTTCACAGAACTCTTAAAGACATCAGTTGAATTTTGCAGTGATTGCTAACATAAAAGATGAGAATGTTATGAAAGAAGTTAAGAGATCTTTTAGTTAGCTGTCTAAATCCTTACCCATTTTACTAGATGAGCTAAAAGCTTAGCTCATTTTGAGATTTTCCAAAAAAGATGCTGTCTTCTTAGTGGATATGGAAGAACTTAATTGCTCGAGAACTGAACAAAAGGATAAGTAAGAGTGGTGGGCAGAAATAGGCCTTTTTCTGGATTACTTGAAGTGTTGTGGCTTAATTAGTAAAGAAAGGTAGGCTTCCTCTCCTGGTTTACCAGTACAAGGGTAGTAGCAAAAATATCAGTAACCACAATGGTAATCCATTGCATTTTTGAAGTATAGAAAGTTAATTTGCAGTCCTTCTTGGTAGGTATTCAGAAATCACATGCGTGTGCATTGCTGTTTTGTAATGTTTGGTGTCCTTGCAGAATTTCATTAACACAATAGTATAACTTCTTATTTCTATTCCGAGGTTTGAATGCAGATCTCATAAATGGGAAAGAGCAGTAGTAGTCTAGTATCTGTTGCTGTGTTCCTTTACCTAAAGCTGCTTGTAGTTACAAAACCAGCTCTTGCATTACTGGCTGTAAAACTTACACTTGCATTCAAGTTCCTTTATGGAATTGTGACTGAAATTAACTTTTATTAATATTTTCCGTTTAAAAGGTTGAAGTGTTGCTTGCATGTGTGATGTTAAGTGGCAGCAAATAATTCCAACTTCTGCCTCTTCCGAACGTGTACAATAAAGCTAAAAATGGCCTTTCTGGACTGGGTCTCTCTCCAGAGTTCTCCTGAAGAGCTGAAAATACGATGGTACTACACCTTGTTCAAATTTGATGCTCGAGTTACCATTAGAAAACAGAGCCCAGAAAGAATTTGCACTTGTGGCTCATACCACCGTGTTTCCTTCTTTATAGAATAAGGAAGGATTTCCTCATTAGAGGAATTGTGAGCAACTCGACAAAACTCCAGTGTAATTCTTGAGAACAGGATTGAACTTTGTAACTGTTTGGCCAGTTTGAGAAAATGTACACTGACCAGTTTAAGAATAACTGTATGGTTTTTTAATTCTCAATTTGTGTCATTTGCTCCAGTAAAAATATGTATGAATAATCTGTAATTGTGCTGAGTAATATTCTCTGCCACTGTGTGCACAGATTTACTGGTTAGGTCTTTGGTTGACTAAAGATTTCTTACTTTTTCCCCCATTATACACATGAATAAATAAGTAGTTCGTAGCATCTTGATACATCTTCAGAGAAAGATAAATCTTTCTCTGCAGGATTTAAAGATTTGAATTTGTGTTATTTTTGAAATATCACCAGCTGAATGTTTATGTTGCCCTCTGAACTTCTGTATTTTTGTCCCAGACAACTTTAAAGCTAGAAGGATTATATGTGTTCTGGAATGTAGTTACTATGTCGATGGCTTCCTAAATCTGTGTGTGTTTTGTTCAGGCATAATAGAACAATTGCAGTATTTGTTAATTTGTATATTTGAAACTTGTGCCCCAGTCATTTATGTAAATTCATAAACATATGCATAATTTGTGTTATAGTAGTTGTCTCATTATGAAGTTGTTAAGGAAGTAAGAACTCAAGGGCATTAATTACCTATAATTATGTATTATTGGAGTTTGAGTCAGTACTCTGGGATTTGTGTTAACACAGCTAGATACAGCTTAAAGCATTGCAAACAAAGCATTTTTAATTTGCATCAGGAGGATCACCAAGGTGAAGAAATGCATGTATCAGTAGAAAATAAACCAAACCTGTTTAAGTGAGAGATAGGAAACCCGCATTAGGAAACATTAACCATAAAATGAATTTAATTTTAGATCTAGACTCTTATTGTATGATTAGGTGTGCTTTTGTGGAAGATATGCCTTCAATTTACAGGAGACAAACTTGTTGTGTATTATCAGATTCATGGGGCATATGGGATATTCTGTCCATATAGCAGCTGGGCTGGGGTTTTTTTGCTTTTTTTTTTTCTTTAAACAATGAAAGAATTGAAAAGTAATGCTACAAACAGTTGTGACGTTTGTGTTTCACTTGTAAAGTGAACGTAGATGTCAGACTGCATAAACTTTTTCTTTCTTTCAGAGTGTTCAAGGACTGAATTCTGTAGCAGATTTTTCTGCAATTAAAGAGCTTGATACATTGAACAATGAAATAGTAGACCTGCAGAGGTAGGTGAAGGAGGAATGTTTGGTTGTTTTACTTCTTGCTTCTTTTTTTTTTCCCTGAAAAATAAACCAAAAAACCAATGCATAAGAGAAAATCAGAAGGTAATGTAGTCTGTTACCAATGATAAGCAAATTGATAAATTTATTCTAATCATGTTTAACTCTTCTATTCTTTGTTGACTCAGAAGACTGCATTTAGTAACAGCAAGACTGAAAATTCTGTCTGTGATCACTTCTGCACATGTTTCAGAGAGCTGCATCTGCTAGCATCCTAGGATCCAGATATTCTCTTTAGTTCATTTTTATTGTCAGGTCAGAATACAGGAGATCTTTAGGATGTGGAAGCCAGGACACAAATTAGTATAAGATGCCTTTGATTTGTAGAGCAACTCCTAGGGACTTTTTCCTAATGGAGGCTGGGAACTGAGAGAAGAAGGCTCAAGAAGGATACAGGGAAGGGAGTCAGAAGGTGGCAGTTTACGTAAGGACTTACATAAATCAGCTAGAATTTTTATGGTGGTAAAGATAGACATGCTTGCCTTCTGTTTGGTGAAATTCGCTTTTGCACTGAAAAAGTTGTTTAAATTAGAGCTAGACAGATGCTTGGTTTCCAAAAACTATTTCTAGGCTTATTATTTCTAGGCTAAGATTTCAAGTCACTGAGGAAAATCAAGCTCATATATACTGTACAATCTTTGTCATACTCTCAAGACATAGCAGATATTCTTCTTCAGTGACTTTTGCTACTATTGTAAATACTGGAAGTTCATTCTGTCAGTTAAGGAGCTTTGTCATGATGACAAAGTGACTTATCCATGTCACTTGTAGGAGTGTTTTAATTTGGAAATGTGTGAAAGCACAGCCCATCTCCTAAACAGATAAATGTTTTTGCAGTTGAGCTGCTTGTTACTTCCTCTGCCTCCTCACTTGTCCTTGCCATGGCTTCCTCTGTTCTTTAACTTGTATTGATACCAGTTTTGGACTTACACATTTATTAACCTACAATTTGATTTGCAACTATGTGTATTTGTTATTAGAAGGAAATAAATTATTCACTTGTGTGAATTTTTAGATAAAGGTGGATTTTTTTTGTTTTTTACTAAGTGTATTTGCAGCCTAACATTCACACCGTTTTGTTGTGTTCTGCTCTTTCTTTCTCCCTGTGATATATGAAGGAACCCCATGGCCTTTGGAAGTCATTGCTTCTGCTTCTTCAGTGGCAAATTATTTATTTGGGTTATATCTGATTGATGGAGATACTAGCATGTTTTTAATTTAAGAAAGTGGAGAGTTACTTTGTTATTTACAGGCAGAGAATAGAATTGTATTACTAATAAATTAATTTTGATTACTTGGCAGTTGTTTAGCTGCTATGAAAGAGTCATTTTGGTAGTGGAAATGTTGCTCTCCTGTATCTCACCGAATGTACAGGTGGCAGTAGGAGGCAGCAGATCAGTCTTTGTGATAAGTTTAGGACATTTCTCGTCTCTTGGGAAGTCTGCATTTCAGGTATAACTGTTTAAGTATACTTTCAGTCTTTATAGTTACCATATTAAAATGTCATCCAAACAATTTTATTCATTATTAAACAATACGTTTAATGATTAAACCCAGTATGTACTAATTCTAATCCATGAGCTGTGTTTTATCAATGAGAGCTGCATTTTTGAGAGCCATTAGTAGAAATTGAATCTATTTTTGACATGCACATTTAAAATAAACAAAACAACCAGAGGAACTCCCTAAAATAATGAAGAGAATGACTGTGTTGTGAAAATGCTGTTTGTTGAAAGGCTGAGTGAAGAATGCAGAAGTGATGTGTTTGTGTGGGAAAACATCTGGTAGCCAAGAGCTTTTTGAATCTAATTTGATGAAAACATAAGGTGAGAAAATGAAGATTGAATATCAGATGAGAAATAAAAGCACAATGCCTATTAGTAAGGTTAATTCCCCTCTGGTAGGGCAAATGACTTGCCCAGGGATGCTATGGAATGTGCCTCATTTTGAGCCTGACAGCAGTACTGCTTTTTCAGAAGACCTGTAAATTCTATTTCCGTTGCATTGCATTTCTTGAGAGTTATTTCTGCTTTTTTTTTTTTTTTTTTTCCATCAGTGGGAGGTTAAACCAGATGTTCTTAATATTCTCTTTTTGAGCCATTGAGCCTTTTTCTTGACCCAGCACACCCTGCTTTCTTTTTGTTCATTAAAGCTAGCTGTGGCCCACAAATGAGTGGGATTTCTTGAGATTTTATCAGTACAACATTGCTTTGTAAGTGTGAATAGCTGAGCTTAACTTGGTGCCACCCATTGTGAGTGTTGGAGAGCAGTGGCTGCGTTTTCCTGAACATAAGTCAAGCTAGGAGAATTTTAGAGAAGATAAGTTAGTCTCTCAAAAGTAAGGAAATAACAAAATGCTCTATTTTTTTTCCAGGGGCAACCTTTCGTTGCCACGTATTTGCATTATAGCTTTGTTTAAATGTCCAGAAATATAGAACTTGTTAGCAAATCAACAGTAAGAACTGTAAACCAGCTGCTTTCTTCTAATCTGGTTTGGAAGCAGCTGGGTTGTTCCAGCTGAAAACTGGGGGACTGAAGGGGAGGAAAAACTGAGCAAACTCTAGATGTTTGGTTTTTTTTTTTCTAGCAGTGTCAACATTAAGCACTTCTACACTAGGAATTCCCACAATTGCACATGTATGTGACAATAAGAAATGTTTGGCAACTGAGTTCAAATGATGCTACTAAGTCTGTGAGCAGCCATCGATCACTTTTTGTGGAAAAGAACTGATCTATTTACTGTTTTTCATTTTTAACTAGTGTTGTTCTGATTGTTACCTATCAAGAAGTGAGGCCAGGATTGCTTCATAGATGGCTTAAGTGGCTCTACTGACATGGGTCTACTCAGCTGTCAGCTATTGCAAATGTTCCCTGTGTGCTGGTTCCAATTCTTAAATAATACTCCATTCACAAATTGCAAAGCTGCTGGATTTACTGGTGTTATTTGATTTTTATATTATGTAGTGTGTGTGTTGGGTTGTTCTTTTGTTATTTGTTTGTTTTCAATCATTATTTTTAATTTATTTAACAAAAAGACCTCCTGACCTGGCTGCTATTAAGTTACCTAGGGAAACTGCATTGCTTACCTAATGGAGTTTGAGTTGGTTTCAAATGTTAACTTATTGTTGAGACCACAGGTGTTTTTGTGTTTCCAGGAGACGTTATGGGACTGTATGATTCAAGAAATCTGTCATATCCAATAATACAGTTTGGTTTTATCCCTGGTATGCAGGTTTACCAGATAGTCTGTAAAAGAAATGGAGGCATTCAGAAGAATTAGTAAATTAAGTAGGTCTGCATTACCTTCATTTGAAACAAAGATGCTTTACTCACGGTGGGGAGCAGGGAGGGTAGATGCATTGTTCAGCCTGTGTTCACTTAGCTTGTTTTCCTTTGTCTGAGACTGCTGCCTAAGTGCTTCTTGTTCGGCCTGACAATAATTCTTTCATTTGATGTTTTTTCCATTCATTGTCTGTGTTGTGATCTGACCAGTGTAAGCTGGCTGTGGTGGGTATTGTGTCCCTTGGTGTAGTCCAGATTGCAAGATTTTGGTACCTGACCGCTGTTGAAATAGAAGGGAAGTGAGTTTCTTTTCTGATGGTCTCTTCAGGCCTATCAGTGACAGGAATTAGGGAAAGCTATATGTTAAGGCATATGTACCTGCTTGCATTTTATTTCCTGCTCAGTTTTCATACCCAAGCTGGAAAAATAACAAAACAACTATTTGTTGATCTAGTCAATTATTCTGTCATTTCTCTTCAATTAGGAATAATATGCGTGAATGTTTGTGTTTGCTAAGTATCTGAGGGCTTGGTATTTTTGAACTTGCCTTCTGTTTAGATCTGTGGAAGTGCTTTGAGATGGGGACCATTTATTTATGGAAACTTATAAAAGGCAGAAGTGAAAAGGACTTGTTTCAGCTCTGTCTTGTGATGCTTTAAATATCTAAATTCAACTCTGCAACAAATGCTGGTTTATTGAGCTAGAGAAATGCATTTGGTTTGAAGGAAACAATAGATCTGTGCAGCATTTTCATGATTTTTTTTTTCTGATGAATGGGGACTGGGAAGTTTTTTGAAACATGAAGGTTGACACCTGAAAAAAAATAGCACGGCTTGTTCTTCAGAGTCCCTCTTTCCATATCTTTCTATTTTCCTCCATGTAAACCTCTCCTTAAAGCATGGTCAGTAAGTTAATTGGGTGCTGAGATAAACAGTAATTGAGCGTGAGATATAGTGATAATTTTTCTGAAGGAATATTTGTAAGGCATGATACCTGATTTTTTCCATCTTCCATTGTATATGCCTTAGCAGTAAACAAGCACTCCTTAGCCTGAATAAAGTCAACTTTCTCAGAGGAAATTCCCCTTTTTACTTTGGGGATGGTAGTGCTTGATTTCATACTAGAGAAGAGTAAACAATAAGATTAATAGTTTTGGATTGATTGCCCATTCTGCTGCTATTAATATATGATTAATTTTAGTACGTGCTAGTAATATCATTTGGTAGTTTTTCTAAATGAATTAGCTTAGGGAAATGTCAGAATTTGAAAAATGATAATACTCTCATCTTCAATGTACATAGGCATTTTAATAGCAGAGTCTTTATAAACATAAACGTTTGTATATGAAAGCTATTGTTAAAATTGCAAAGCCTGCTCTCCTGCTTTTCTACATCTGGTAAAGGAGAAAACATAGCATACATTGTCTAGGGATAAATTCTTTCTTTATATGAACACTTTTGGGCTGTGTGGCTTTTTCCTTTCTTAAAGCTATTGTTATCTTGGCTGCCAAGAATTTACTGATGGTAATTCCCTTGTCATCAGTAGTCACTTGTAAGCTTGCATGAATGTCTGTAGGGACAGACTTGATATGACACAGCAAATAACTATATATGGAGTCTGTTAAGCACTTAGTGATTACAGCAGGCTAACTTTTCTTCTTCTGACTGATCTTACCAACAAATATATCTAAAATATGATAGTCAAGGTTAATAATCTGCTAGGGTGGCCTCCTGAAAATGCTTTTAGCTGCTGGTAGCATAGGAATTACTGTATTTGCAGGGGTTAACAGATGGAATCTGATGCAATCCCTCCCACTTTTCCCAGCAGTTTTCATTAGACAAGCGCTCCATAGCAACAGTGAGATCACTGAAGACAGTATTTCATTGATTTTTCCCTCCCGCCCCCTTCCATTTTTAAGCCATTCTTATCACTAAAGTGCAGTTGGGTGAAAGGCATCTTTTTTTTTTTTTATGCACAAAGCTTATGTGGGCTTCTGTCTTGTAAATTATTTGGAAAGCAGAAATCCCTTAGATCTTTTGTGTTTAATGTTTCACTATGTATTTAAAGAGAGATACAGGGTTAGGAGGCTGGATAACTGTACCTGCTGTAGCTGATGTTCTTAAGTATTCTTGCATTGTTTGCTGGTCTTCTAGGGAAAAGAATAATGTAGAGCAAGACCTGAAGGAGAAAGAAGATACCATCAAACAGAGGACGAGTGAGGTGCAGGTAAATAAGACGCAGAATTGTTGCTCAGATATCTGATATTGCACCCTGTGATGCTTTAATAGCAGTGAGATTACTGAATCTTTAGATCGCATCACTTACTGAGTGGTGGCTGAGGAAATGAATGTACGTTGAAATATATTTGGTATACCAATGTGGATTAGTAGGGTTCTGCATCTCTGTATAAATGTGTGAGCTCCTAGGATATGTAATCTGCATGGAGTTTTTAATGAGAGATACTCAAAATAATAAATCCTCTTTTAAGCAGGGCTGATCTACTAAAAACTGAATAAGATGCTATTGTGCCACAAATTAGTAAACTTAACGAGGCTGAATTAAAAGGACTTTTCTATGGGGCTGCTTCTTAAAAGTCTCAGTAATTATCCAGCTTGAGAAGAATATTGCCTAAAATAAGTGAATTCTGAAGTAATATATTTGATTTTTATTTAAAGGGGCGTCATTGAACTTAGTGTAATTTGAATTTTGCAAGTGCCTTATGAATTAAAAATTATATAGTCAGCATCAGTGTTTAGGGTGTTAACAGTATAAGCTCTGAATTAAATACTGCAAAGCATATTTAAGTTAAATTGTAAGGTGCAGAAGCAGCTGGAATTGCAACAATAAGAAAAAAAACTTCAGTGTTCTATCTGATCATTTACATTTATTTCTGCCTTTGTTTCAGGAATCTTTATTAGTTCAAATACTCTCTATTTGATTAAGAGTAAATGATATAAATTTCTAATTTTACTTTGTTTTGGGGGCTGGAAGGTTGGGAAAGAAAAGCCAGTGTTGCAAGCATTGTGACTCTTGTGCTCAGCTATTTAATATCCTTAAAGCCTGGATGATACTGAATAATCTGACCTTTCAGAAGATAAGCAGATGCTGGCCTGGTGGTCACAATGGCAGCCAGATTCAGCAGCTGCTGGAATGTGTGCAGAAGTTGACCATTCCTGCAATTCTGTCTGTGCATGCCAGCATCGTTCTTGTCTGTGATGAAGAGGACCTTTTCACACTGTTAAACATTCTCACTGATGTTTCTATTTGGGCACACATGGTGATTTTGTTAGTTTGTTCTGAAACTTGTGTGTTCATATTAAGATTGAGTTCTCTGCTGCCTTTGTACGAGAGGTGTCTAAAGCTAAATAAAACACCTGCCATTAGTATCGTGAGGCCTAAAATGTTGCAGTCTTAGTGTGATTTTATGTTTATAGTCCTTGATAGTCAGCAGCATCACAGAATCAATGGGATCATTGTATCCAGAGCAGTTGTGTTCAAAACAACTGTCTTAAATCTTTAACCTCTTAGTGATCACATAAGCTATTTGTATCCTGCTAAATATAAGGAGTTCTCAGTCTGTGAAGAAGGAGCAGTCTGTTACTGACATGTCAGAAAAATGGAAAGCCATCAGAATCAAATGGGACATGACTCCAGCATTCATTTGAGCTAATGGCTCTGTATCTCTGGTCTCTTTGTTCCTTAATGTTGGAGGAACCTGCATGTTTCATGAAACTTTCTAGAACTTCACAGGATAGCAGATGAAGAATATCATGTTATTTGCTTCTTTTTTCTTTCTGATGTTCTTCTAGTGATATTTCTAAAGATGGTAGGCACAAACTGTGTTGTAATCTGCCACTTTTGATCAAGCTAATCTAGTGGTAGCACACTGAAGGCTTCATGATACCAGGATTATGTTCACCAACATAAATTATAACCTCACAAAGGCTTGTGATGGATTGAACAGATCTGTATGAGGGAAGAGATAGAATAGCTATTTTCCCCTATGAAATAATGTATATGCTGTACAAATAGAATCTGAGAGGCAGAGACAGAAAAAGACTTGTAGAGAAAACATAACAAACTGTGATATATTTTAATGTTTATTAAAGCATTATCTCTCAGCAATGATTAAAGACTGTTTTTCGTAAGAGGTAACAGGTAGAATAGTAAAGATTGAGAAACTAAGGCATTTTTTTTATTTATTCTGTGATGGAGTTTTTATTTTCTTATGAATAACAGAGAAAAGAAACACGGATACAAAATGTTCTTCTTGGCAGAAGACAACTCAGCTTTTCAGAGTTAATGTATCACTAAAACAACAATTTTTGACCATACAAGTGTCATCATTGAGGCTCTACCTCAAGTTATGGGCTTTTTTCCACATGCCCAAGACTCAGATCCTCCATCAAGCACTTTGTATATGTGTATGGTTTCTTAGTGTGCCTGCAAAGACTCTAACATAAATGGTGATTCTTCTGGCTTTCCCAACAATAACTGGGAAAGAATACCTAGAATAAAATTCCCTAGAATTCTCCTGACATGAAGTCAAAAGTTCTGTTTCCAGTTTTAAGTGGAATATTGAAACTTTGTGAAGAGATTTTTTTGAATAAATGCTTGGAACTCCTGGGGGAAAAAAAAAAAAAAAAAGCACAACTTATGTTCACATCTATGGAAGAAAGAAGAATCTATTTTGGAGATACCAGGTACAGTCATGTCTCCTCAGTGCTTCTCTACTGCTGTGGCTGGAACAGACATTGGGTCTCAAGAACCAGCAGCAAGATTGAAAGTCATCTATATTTAGTTTGTGTGTGTGACTGAAAGGAACTGTTACTTCCACCCTCAACCTGGTTGTGTGTGTTGAGAGTCAGATGGGATTTGTATCAAAGTCATGAAAAAACGGAACGGATTAGGACACTTTCCCAGTTGTCCAGGTCACTAGCTGCTGTCAGAGCTTTTTGCATATATTGACTTATTTTCCATAAAGCAGAATCAGTAAGTCATCTATTCTGGCTGCTGTAGGTTAGTCATGAAATTTCAGCCGTTAATCCTGAAGTTGATAAATGGATTTTGATTTTTTTTAATAAACGAGTTTCTGATATCTTATTAGGTAGTCTTCTGACTGTCTTGAGGTTCCCTGTTTTGCTGGGCATCTGACTGCTGCACCATGTACGTTTGTTTCTCTCTCTTCTTGTCCTGGTTAACTGGAGATGCTAACAGATATGAGTTAACCTTCTTCCCCTTTTTGAAAAAAGATAACTTAATCACCTAAAAGTGACAACAGAATCTTACCATAGAACAGCACAGGAATGCGTGATCTCATCATGTCAGCTTTTATTTCTTACTGTCCTAAATTTTCTTTCATCTCTTTATTGTTGTATATGATTCTGTGTTCAATTACATTTTTTTTTTTTTTTTTTTTTAGAAAGACTGCAATCTTCTTATCTACTACTTCCGTAATAATCCTTTTTTGATCTCTCTGTATTACTTCTTCCTCTTGACTTTGACAGTTCTTGCTAAATTCTTGTCTTGGTTTTTTTCCAGTGTTATCTCTGCAGTTTGAAGTATAACCATTGTTGTTGCTCAGAAATGAACTCATTATCATATGATGCTACTTTCTGTATCTTACATTTTATTTACAGCAGTCCCTGTAACAAAACATGCCATGTTTTCATATATGGAACATGCATTTCTTACCAGGAAAAAAAAAAGAGGATGATTTCAGCAAAAATTGGAGGTGGGGAAAATCTTAAGGGAAGTGCAATTGGGTTAATAAGGCACTGATTTTGTTCTTTACCTTGCTGCTAAAATGAGTTTGTATTTTTGGGTGTGTGTTTTTGAGGGGAAAGGAACAGAGTAAAGAATTTCTGTTACTAAGGAACTCAATAAAACATGTTGCTAAAATATAAAAGAACGTAGCAGCCTGAGTAAGGATGACTTCTGGATTCAGGAAGGAAGCCTACCTCCCACTCATTAAACTGTTCTAATTTCTGTTTGGGAGTGTGATCTTCAATATTTCAATACCTTGTTGTTGTTGTTTGATGAAAGAAAAGAAAAAGCAAATAACCTAATTGTTGTTCTTTTAGAATTAAAACTTGAGAACACTTGCTTGTGTGCTGTGCAGTACATGTTAGCCTTTGGAAGATAACATGTTGCTACTCTCAAATCTGGCTGATCATTACCACAATTTATACCATGAAATTTAATGGTCAGAGGGAGCAGTAAACAAAGGCAAAGCAAATCTGTTTTATTACAGGATCTACAAGATGAAGTAAAACGGGAGAGCAGTAATCTGCAGAAACTGCAAGCTCAGAAACAGGAAGCGCAGGAAATCCTTAATGATCTTGATGAGCAGAAGGCCAAGTTGGAAGAGCAACTTAATGATATCAGGCAGAAATGTGCAAAGGAGGCCCACTTGGTAAGGCCTAGTGGCTTCAGCCCTTAAGAAGGAATGCTGCATTTTGAATAAGGCATGCTTGCACTGTGTTGTGGTGGTTGGGAAAGGAGAAAAAGCTTTCAAGATTAAACAGCCCGAGTTGCAGGATTTTGTGACCAATAGAGAATAGGAGACATCACTTATTTCACTGACCTCTTTATGTCTCAGTGTGCCAACAAATGTAGTAAGATGTGTTTGCACACATGTGAAGTTGTGTACAAACAAATGACACAAACGTGTAACACAATGTAAATGTAACTAGAAACACTAATTATCAGGACTGATTTCTTGGGATTAAAAAAAAAAATAATCATATATATATATTTTTTTTTTCTAACATAAAATTTCAGGGTGGGTTTTTTTTTTTTTCCCCCATATCTTAAATATTAGTAATACCTGTATTGGTCAGGAAAACAGCTTGATCTCATTGGGACAAATAGCAGATAAATCTTCTGTTAGAGTATGATCTGAAGTCTCTGCAATAGCTGGTCATAAATCTTCTGGTCATAAATCTTAGCCTTTCCTAGATATATTTGGAGGTGTGGGGGTATTTTTGGTGTGTTGTTGTTTGTTATTCTTTTCCTAATTTGACTTTGGAATCCTTGTTTATGCTTTAGATTGCCATGCTGAAAGCTGAAATAACAAGCCAGGAGTCAAAGATCTCAGCATATGAAGATGAACTGACCAAAGCTCAAGAGGAGCTGAGTCGTCTGCAGCAAGAAACTGCAGAGCTTGAGCATTGCATAGAGTCTGGGAAAGCACAGCTGGGACCTCTTCAGCAACATCTGCAAGATTCACAACAGGAAATCAGTTCGGTAAGGCATTGTGAAAGGGGAAGGAAAAAAAAAGGAAAAACAATAATTAAAAAAAGAAAAAGAAAAAGGCAAAACAAAAAAAACTGTTTTAGCTGACAGGCTTTGGTATGATTTTTTCATAAGGAGAAAATGTTCTTCTTTTCACAGTTTCTATACATTCCATTGCTTGCACAGAACATGTGTTTAGTAGTTATAATTCTTACAGACTGACTCGCTTTGCTCTAAGTATTTATTTCTATTTCTCCATTGTTATAAGAGGGAAATCATTATAACTGATAAATAACTTGCTTTAATGTAATGAATGACTAATGAGTAATGCTTCTTTAAATTCCTTATGTCCAGTAGTTATCCAAGTTTTCTTCCTCAGTCACAGCCTGAGCCATGATCTCACTGTTCTTAAATTGATGTGACGTCGATATAGAATTACTTAACACATTTACTTAGAGTATTCTTGAAGGAGGAAGGTGAATGGAAGAGTACTGGGACTAGGTACAGAGAAGCAGAGAGATTGCTGCGTTGTTTTTTGAGAACAAAGCTGTACTTTGTATGTGCAGTCAACAATTTATTACTTTAATGAACAGTTAGCTTGCATACCTTTTTGTCATTTTTCTCATTTATTGCTGAAATAATCATGTGGCTGTAACTGCCTGCTTAGGAAAATATATTTTGGATTTTCTAGACTTCAAAAGTTGTGTGGAGGAAGATAATTTTGTAATTTTTTCTTTGCATTCTGATTGAGCAGCCTTTTACATTTGTGGAGCTTAAGGCAATTACAAGTGAGTAATGTAAAAGGGAATAAACAAAACAAATCAAACAAAAATCAGAAACCCACACCAAAACAAACCGAAGGCTTTGCAAGTCTGATGTGCTTGAGTGGCAATGGAACAAGTCTTTAATACTGCCAGTGATCACCAGTGATACGGCCTGCTTCCTTGGCACAGAAGGTTCTCAGGTCTTCTGCCATATCTCTTCAGGAGCAGATTTGTGCTTTTCTATGAAATTTTATAGTTTGTTATACTTGATTTTGGAGTATAAGAATTACCTTCCATCTCACAGTTAGGAAGGGGGAGTTGTATTCTAGTTTCCATGTGCTGCTGCGCTGACACACATGCGTTATTTCTGTTCACAGGTGCAGACAAAACTTCTTGAGCTGAAAGAACTGGAAAGTAACCAATTTAGTTGGCACTCTCAGCCACAGACTGTACTTGTTAACGGAACTACGGATCATTCTAGTCTTAGCAACAGCAGCAGTGAAACTGCTAACCTTAATGAGAATGCTGAAAGGGAAAGCATAGCTGAAGATGAACAAATAAACAATGTATCCCCAGTGAGTAAAATGTTTTGCCTCCCTGATCATGATGCAATGCAGCTGTGAAGTTGGAATAAATTAAGAATGTATTAAGATTGATTGTATTTTGTTTTTAAACATTTTCAAAGCAAACTTTAAGGATGTTATTCTGAGGGAGTATTCCAGAGATCTGGAAGTTGATAAGCAGAAAAAGAGGCAACATTATTTTCCAAAGCTTAACATCATAAATTGAAGAGTAAAATTAATGTTAAAGAAGAGCAGCTGTTTCCAATTGTTTCCAATAGAATGAGGAATAGTACAAAAATCTAAAAGCTGTCTTGCTTTTTAAATGCCCGGTTTTCTGTCTCAATTTATCGAACACTTCAGTGTGTTCTAAGTATGAACCTCTTGAGGTATCCTTTAGTACATTCTTACAACAGTTTGATGCTTAAAATGGAGTAAGTAGTGTAGTGTTCTGTTTACTTACACTAAATTGCTTTTATCCTTACATAGACAAGAAATAGTCCTGAAACAACAGCTGCTGCTGCAGAAGAAAACAAAGAGACTCCATCTGCAACTGTTACGAGAAAAGTGAGTTTGTTCAAATTTAAGTGGGGGAAGAAGTGAATGTAAAAAGAAAAAATAAAAATAAATAGGGCATGATGTCATAAATGCATTTATCTTATATAGCAGGTTGATTTTTACTGAGGAATACTCTAGCTCTCTGTTGAGTTCTGATGAATTCAAACTCATTTCAGCTTTAAGAAGTTAATAAATGATAACAGTATGAGGTAAGTGTCTCACACTTCTTACCTTTCTTTGCTTCTTTCATGTTTTTCAGGAGGATCCATTTGATGCTGAATCTCATCCGTTGCCTGATATAGTTTCTGAAACAAGTTTAGAGTTCTTCCAGTCCGACCCTTTTGTTGGCAGTAAGTACACTCTTCTCTCTAAGTGCAGATTTGCAGAAATGCGTTTTGTATGAACACAGATTAAACTTCCAGTCTGCATGGAATAAATGTGAAAGTACTTGAGTGACAAGAGCCGATAGCATTACAAAAATACAAATGAGAGTTCCAGAGTGTGTCTCTTACCTGTGTTTTTTCTCCTGAGTGCCTCTTTTTTCATTTTTTTCCTTCTGGAGGTCTCATTTTGGTATTAAAAGTGCGGGCGTACTTGTGAAACATGTGGTGTCACTGATCTAATTTGGAGCACGGAGCCACAAACAGATCATCTGAGGGTTCAGTGCGCTGTGGTGTAGGGAGCTTGTGGGTGGCTGAGAGTGAATGGCTGTGGCCTACTTATGGCAAGTTAGGTACTCAGAAAAAGATAATGTGGAACTGTACCATCTGTTCATCTTGTGGAAGTGCTAGGCTTTATTTTAAGAACTTGCCACTTAAGAATTCTGTTGCTCCTTTTTTTTCTAACGTTTGGAGGAGTGATCTGTCTGGATGGAGACACTTGGAGTATGGGAAGAGTTAATTTGGATTAACTGTTGAAACAGATGTATGCAGCTAAATAAGCTAAATTTATTTTGCATCACTTGGCTTCTAAAAGATTGCCAGTGTAGATTTAAGCTTTAGTTCATCTTTTTCACTTAAAAATATTAAAACAACTTCAGTGATTTCACATACATATTGTTTCTTATTTTGTTTATATGATGAAATAGTTTATATTATGAAGTAGTTCTGCTTATGGGGTATGACAGCCTTCCTTTCAGAGGAGAAAGATATGTCAGTTAATCAACCTCCTGGATTTTGTGTGCTCAGTTTGTTTAGAGGTAGATATCTAGAGCTGTAAGACCTTATATATGTGAAATGAAGAAATATACTGGTGCCATATACTTGTATCCAGTATAGAAATGAACACTTGATGGCTGCTATCCATCGTGTCTGTGAGAATTAATAAAAGTGGAACTAAGTTTTCATTAGTAATTAGCCTGTGTTACTATGGTGTAAATGCTGCACAGTGTGCATCTTTACTGAGAGCAGCCAACAGAGATGCATTTTTCAGATGGCTGTTATTGTGTGCTTCATTGCTTTGTCTGTTATCAGCTCTTGTTCCACTGAGAATTATGAAACTCTGCCTCTGAGTGAGGGAAATTCTAACATTAGAAACTTATTTCTATCAAAAAGACTTCAACTCAGTACACGAGCTTTATGGTTTAAAATCTACAAGTCACTTTTTCCTTTGAACAGGTGATCCCTTCAAAGATGACCCTTTTGGGAAAATTGGTGAGTAACTTTTTAACTTCTAACCTTTCCTTTTTTC